CTGCTGATGGTGGACCCACATGGTCTGTTAGGGATCCACAGTCAGAGCCTGTGTTTGGCCACCTGAGGTAGCTCTGAGACTCTGAGTTAGCTCCTTTATGTGTCTGTGCCTCGGTCTACATGGTGGGATGCTATCATCTATGCCCATGGTGGGGAAGGCAGGAAACATCGAGGACAGGTGCTCTATGATCATGTAGGGTGTGAGTGCCTGATAGTCTCTAGCAAAATCTGTGCACCTTCCTGAGACAGCACTGGCCCTGGATCTTGGGTGCACACTAGTACCATCTGCAAGTATGAGCCTGTGTCCAGGGCTGTGCAAATTCAATTGTTAATAAAAATGCAAGTTTCTAGACAAAACCCAAGAGAAGTAGGTGCCGGGACTCTGCTGTGGGGTTAACTAGAAACCGCCAACACATGAAATGTGGTTTAAAAGCTGCTGAATCTCACAGGGCTTTGGATTATAGCCTTTAAAAATATTTTAAAACTTTTAACCCCATGGGACATGCTTCTGTCTCTGGTTAACAGGCAGAGGAGAAGCCAATGGTGCCCAGGGAAGAGGTGGAGTGGAGGGATCCTAGTGGGTATGAAGTGACTCTCAGACACACCTACTCCCCCTTGCCCCAGCCCTCACCTGTCCATCTTGGCCACTCAGGAAGCAACCCTGAAGCCAGAGAAGCTTCAGGAGCTGAGCCAGCCTCTGCCTTCTTGAATCACACAAGAACAGGATGGTGTTCACTCCTCAGGGAAACAGACTCAAGTCCAGTCTGCTGTCCAGGGGCTCCGGGGCTGCAGGGAGACTCTCCCACATTTGCCCTGCAACTGAAGCCCATGCCCTCCTGATGTGCCCTGGTCTGTTTGTGACAGGTTGGTATCCAGCCTATGGGAAAGGGGTACCCATGGGGCCTCTGAGGGCAGTGCCTGGAGTCCTGCACTAGCCAGAAGACAGCTGACCTTCTCCCCTGACCTCAGCCTCCTTCTCCCTATTACAGATATTCCCAGCCCAGAGAGCCCTGTGTTCCCTGAAAACAGGTCACAGGGCCCCATCCCAGTTCTCATCTAAGGTTCTGGGTGGGACCTGAATATTTGCAGTTCCTGACCAGTAGGCAGGTAGGCGGCCTGAGAGCCAAAATATGGGAACCACTCCTCTACCCCCGCATCAAACCTCAACTGCAGGGCTCCCAGGCCTTGAACCTCCTCTCACCTCCAAGGTAAAATGTCCTCCAACCTTGGGGGAAAGTATGGCCCTCTCCTCCCCAGAGGGGCACGCTACTGTTCGCTGTGTGCTGATGAGCCTAAGTACCACACACACATTTATCTATCACCTAGTAGACCTACATATTTGTATCATGAAACAAAGAGGTTAAGTAACTTACCTCTCCCAGTGACAAGAGGAAGATGTACTCAAACTCACACTTATCCCGAAAGCTTTGGCTTTTCCCACTATTCCAAGGCTGGAAAGTAAAATGTCAGGTTGTCTGTGGATGCCAGCTGTGTAGCCAGCAGCTTCCTGGAGCACTGGACTGGGAGCCCCAGGTGGAAGGGGCTTGGCTAGAGGGGGTTCTGGAATGCTGAGCTCTGTCTGTGCCTTGTGCCCACTGTCCTGACCCCACAGGTGTCCCTCCCTTCTGATGCTTCTGGATCAGTTCTGTTAGGACCTAGAATCAGGAGAAATGCATATTCAAATTCCTCCCTTGGGAAACAATGCAACTTGCTTCCTCTCCCTCCCTTTCTTTGAAGGTGAGTCAGTTTGGGGCCTGGCCTTGAGAAGGCAGAACAACTGGAAAGCAAAGGAGATGCAGGGCCTGCGCAGGGCAGCCCATGTGGGCACTGCCCTGAAGTGGGGACACGGGGATTATGTTCAGGATGGTCTGTGGTGCCCCGTGTCTTTGTGTGACCATCTGTCACACAGAAGTGATCACTGTGACTCAACAAGGAGGTGATGGCGTTTGGTATGCAGGGTGGCCTTGTTGCTGACAAGTCTTTCACTGCTTCTTTGCATTTGTGATAAATGTGGTAAAATGACATACAACAGTAGCCTCTATTTTACTCAGTCAACAAATATTTATAAAGATGTATCTGTAGACAGTGAGGATACGGCAGAAAATAAAACATCGTTCTCATGGAACTTACATTCTAGAGCAGAGAGGAGGTAAGGAAGCAATGGGGAGATTGTGCAAATGTAATTGTGCATAGAGATGCTGTGTGTGTGTGTGTGCGCGCGCGCGCGTGAGCACGCGCACGCGCATGCATATGCAGCTGTTTTAGGTGGGGTGTCTAGGGAAGGCCTCTCTGAATGGGAGAAAAAGCTGCATGGGCAGATGTGGGGATTAATCGCACCAAAGCAGAGAAACTGGCAGTGCGTAGGTCCTGAGGGCCAAGGCAGGCGGTGGCCAGATTGGGCAGGCTGGTGGGGCAATGGGCTTCCCACCTCTGCAGAGGTGCCCCTGGCATCTGATTGCAGGGCACTGCTGGCTCCTGGTGGTCAGGGGGGCTTAGCCTCTCATGCTGCCTGGAGGCACAGACTCCCAAGAGGCTTTGTCCTGTTGGCAGTGTCCTGCAAAGCGTGTCTCCACTGAGAAGTCCTGAAGGGCCTGGAGGGCCAGGGTGAGAAGCTCAGGTGGACCTCCGGCAGGGGGCAGCTGCTGGAGAGGTGTTTAAAAGATGGTCTTTGTGCATGAGCAGTGGAGGAGGGATGGGAGCTTGACAGGGAGCCGTCCAGCGGCCACAACAGCAAGTGTTAGTGGTGAAGGGATAGTGTTAGTGGTGAAGGGGTAGTGGTGAAGAACCAAAAGCCGTCTCCTTCAGCAGAAGGCATCTCAGTAAACATAGAGCGCCATTTCTCATGACATCTTCACAAGGTTTTTCCACTGGGGATGTGGCTCAAGCAGTAGCACGCTCGCCTGGCATGCGTGCGGCCTGGGTTCGATCCTCAGCACCACATACAAACAAAGATGTTGTGTCCGCCGATAACTGAAAAATAAATATTGAAATTCTCTCTCTCTCCTCTTTCTCTACTCTCTCTTTAAAAAAAAAAAAAGAATCAACTGGTTTCCAGGAGAGGATTCTGTAGAACCAAATTACAGCAGGACTTGCTCTTTCACATGCAAATCCTAGTCCTCCTGCACTTCAACCCTGCCTGTCCCTCTGCATTTCAAGTTGCCCAGGGAGGTAATCTATTAGGGCTTGTAAAGAGATAAAATTACATGCACTTCTTGAATACCATTTTGTGATTTCTTTTTCTGAAGGGTCAGTAGGAATCAACCTGCACATATCACTTTGTAAAACTAGTGCCCCAGTCCCTTGAATACCAGGGACCAAGTCTGCATTTATTCTCCCGAAACAGCAACATTATGCAAACATCAAAGTCTCTGGAAGAGCCTGTAGGTATTCTCCACACACTTGACTCAGGCATAAAAGACAGGTTTCCAAGTGCCTCATCAGCTCCTCCACCACAAAAGCAGCTTAGCCTCCAGGGCTTCACAGAACCAAGTTGGCAGTCCTCATCTCTCCCCAAAGTGGCCCCAAGACTGCCTTCAGAAGGTCCCCTCATGCAGAGATCCACAAAGCAATAATGAAGTCCACCCTCCACAGCACCCATTCTCTCATTGCTCCTGGCTGAGCAACCCCACAGTCCACCTTCAGCAGAACCCACTTCTCTCCTGGGGGAGTAGCCCTTTGCCCTGGCTGAGCTGAAGGGGTTGGTGGAGGAGGTGGTGACTGGCTTAGGCCTTCCCCACTGGTGAACGGTGTCCTGCAAGGTGTGTCTCTACTGAGAGGTCCTGCAGGGCCTTGAGGGCCAGGGTGAGAATCTCAGGTGAACCTTCCACAGTGGGAAGCTGCTGGAGAAGTACACGGGTTAAAACATGGTCTTTGCAAATCATCGGCCACACTCAGCTGCCACAACAGTGAGCCTCTGCCATCAGGACATGGCTCTTCCCCACCAGAATCTTTTACCCTGAGAGCTGGGGTAGATGTCACAGGGACTAAGCCACAGCCTCCCCCTGAGTGAGTGGAATCAGGTCTTCACCAATCCATCCCCTGCTTTGCCATTTCTGGATAAAACTGAGGAAGGGAAACAGAAAGGGGAAGGGCCACCCTCTCTCAAGTTAAAGCTTCTTTAGCTTAAACTCATCACCCATCTACCCAGGCAAGCTCCAGAATTAGAACATCACATGGCCTCCTTTGCTATAAACCTCAGGGGATGGTGATGAGCTTTCCTCTCTGGGCCCAGCCACGGCCTCTAAGAGCAGTCCACCTCACACTGAGCATGAAGTTGGAGCCAGGATTGTGTGTTAGCAAGAAAAAAACAACAGTTTTCATCAAGAAATCTTGTTTTACCTACTAACTAACCATGCAAACTTTGGACAAGGTCACCTTCATGGGTCAGAAAGATGGGGTCCTTAAAAAGTTTGCTCAGCTCAAGTCACTCTGAGGCTGATTTGTAATTCCACTCTAGATCTTTACAGTTCCCTTAAAGACTCTTGCAGACCTGTCCAAACCATCCACCTTGCCTGCCACCCCTCTGAGCTGACAGCTTTCTCCACAGCCACTGCCCGTCTGCTCCTAGAACATCATCGCTTCCTCTGACCTTACAGCCCTCTTCTGGACCTCTCAAGCTCTGCTCAGGGTTGAGACCAGCACTGTCATGGTTCTGTCTCTTTGACCCTCCTGGGCTGAGCAATGTACTTATTAGATGTTCAACAAAGGCTTGCTCTCGGATGAGAGGACAGGAAGAGGTAAGCAGAGGGAAGAGTGAGCCCAGCCAGTCAGTTCACAGCCCCAGAGAGGCTCTGGCTTAGAGCCATGGATTCTACCCTTAAGACCCTGGACTTCTTAGAATTAGAGAGACAGAAGTGAGTTTCAGGTATTATAACAATAACTCTGAGCCGGCAGGTATCTAATACCCTATGGCTTTGCTGAGATGTCCTGGTTTCATAAGATTTTAGAAATACTACCATTTTTCCTAGCCTTCATGGTGTGTCTTGTGTTTACAGAGAGCTAACATAAAATCGCTGAGTAGCAGTTTCCAGACCCCTTGCTCCACGACTTCATGCCTCTTTAGCTCTTCCTAGGAAAACCCCCTACCCCAGGAAGTCTGAGGCTACTCTTATTGGCATAAGCTTAGCTCCTTTCTCTTATCTGAAGCCTGTAACTACCTTGGCCTCACAATTAGAACTGCTAAAGGCCTTGGGGAAGGTCCCGTGGGGGCACCTAGTCTGTCTGGCCTTGCTGGTGTGGTGCTGAGATGGAGGGGCTGGGAGACCCCATCTGGTCCTGCTCCTGGGGCTGGGATTCGAGGGCCTGTGATAGGTACAGGGTCAGGACTTGAGGTCAGTGGCCAGTGTTTGAGTCTTAGAGAAGTCAGGGAGGACTATGGCGGACCAATGGTAGCCTCCAGGGGGAAAAAAATGCCTCTTCTTTACTCAGCCCTCTGCTGAGTACATGCTGGTGGTTACAGCATGGCTGCATGGAAGACACTGCCCCAAAGTGTGGGGGCCCCCATGGCAACCCCTAGGGACTATTGTGCACGAGGCAGACAGCTGGCATCTCCACTCTCCTCCCTGCCTAGCTCACCATCCATTCTCTAAGCCCCTCATGCCCTGTGAGTAGCAAGTGCCAAGAGTTCAGGCAGGTCCGCTGGAGTTGTCCTGGTGCCATCCTAGGTGGGGAGGGTCCATGAGACCTCCAGACCAGAACCAGGTCAATGACAGCAGCAACCCCTAGACTGACTCTCAGCTGCTGAAACTGAGAGGATCCCCAAGCTCCCTTGCATGGGTCCAGCGGCCGCTCCCGCTCAGTCCTGTGCTGAGCAGGGTGCCAGTCTTCCCCTAAGGGTAGTTGCACTTCTTGGTCATTTTCCGAATCTGGAATAGAAACAGGACATTAAAACATGTGAAAGGTCCACTCACATTAAGAAGGTGAAGACTAAGAAGCCTACCAGAAAGCAAGACCAACCCAATCGTCCCTTCATGGGTATACAGCACGCAAGTACATGATGTGGATATATGTACACCTTGGTGGCTCACAGTGATGAGCTCCTGAGACATTCAGGAGTGGACACTCCTCCAGAGAGTGACACTGGAGAAAACCCTGAAATGCTGCATGTGGAAGATTCCATTGACATGATGTACTTTAAATGACAGAAATCACAGCGCTGGAGAACAGAGTGAGTGGTGTTGCCAGGGGTCAGGGAAGGCCAGCGGGGCCCTGAGAAGGGACTCCCCCCCTCTGCCCAGGCCTCCTGCTGTCAGGGGTTTCTTTCTGGCTTATTTCTCTGATGTTTTAGTTTACACGTTTTTCAAGTTGACTTTCCTTTTATTTCCTGCTTATGTGTTTAACCATCTTAATTTAATTCACGCTGTAGGAGTTTATTAGTGATCTTGTTGACTACATTAGCATAATTTATAAAATTATTCCATATTCTCTTTCTGCAAACGACTCATGATCATGTTAACATTTTTTAAAAATTTTTATTTCTCTTTATTAGAAAGTAGCCTTCGCCCCATTAATTTCGAGTGGTTTCAAAATCAGCCTCAGTGTGAGGCATGCCAATGCCATTGGTGCTGACAGGTTTGGACTGAGGAGGACAAAGATCATTGTCTTGAAATTGTATGGTAATTGGGAATTTCTTCAAAGCAATTCAGTGAGGCAAAGGAAACAGGAGATCATGGGTGAAGTAAGGCTGCCAGGGGCTGGTGGCAGGTACCTGGAGGTTCTGTGGACTGTGTGATCATACAAAGGCTTTTTAAGTGTCGCCAGGATAAAAGAAAGTTAAAAGTAGAGACTGCTTCTTAAAGGCAGGATTGTAGATGTAGGTGTAAAGCTGCTGTCTGAATTCCCTGAGGATTCCTGGAGGGGAAGTCCTCCACCCCTGCCACTGTCACTCGCTGGTTTGTCTAACCTGGTGGCCTGGCCCTCCTCATGTTCCTTGTGAGGTTTTGCATGTGCTTCCCTTTTGCTGTCTTTGCACACTCCAGTTCTCCAGGGAGATTACACGGCCTGAGTGGGGTCTGTCCCCACTAATGATCTGCACACTCTTGCTATCCCCTCCATTCTCACAAAATCATTTCTAAAATGACACAGATCCACATGCACCAAAGGTTTGAGCGCTGTGGCTGAGGCCTTCAGGTATGTTTTTTCACACCATCAAACACATCAACTGTATACAATCCAGCCATTCCTGTCCTGAAATCCCTTGGGTCTCTCAACTTCAAGTTCACATGGAAGCTGCCTGTCCTTCTCCCAGCCTACTTTCTCACCGTCCCACCCTCTGTGGTGACATCCCCAGTGTTCACTCCTCACAGGGACATGAAACTTATTTCACTTGCAGGCATCAAACAAGGCTTTCTTTGGTCTCCAAGCTTTAGAGCATATGGCTTCTCAGACCCCTGGTCCTTCTATCCTCTAGCCTCTGAGGGCTCCAGCGACGTTTGCTGAGCCCTCAGGATGGATCCAAGTGACAGTCCTCTGGAAGGCTGCTGAGCTGCCCCCAGGTGGCTTTGCCAGCACGCTTGGCCATGCCGCCCCAGGACTCTGAATTTCTGTGATTACTGGCACCCTGTGGTCCCTTCTAGGCCACAAATCTTGGCCTCTTTCAATCTCCTCTGAACCCAATCCTGTGCCTGTACATAGTAGGTGTTTGGGTGGATTAGTGGCCAAATGAGCAGAGAATGGATGAATGAACTTTCCTCGAGGTAGTGGCTCCGTGCGTGAGGGCCTTTCCCCGTGGTCTGGTTGCAGTGCTGGGCAGAGACAGGAGCACCTGCTGGAGCCAGGTGGCTGGTGGTTGAGGAGGGCAGAGGAGGCAAAGATGGGAGAGGCTGTCAGAACCCAGAACCCCATCCAACCACGTCATGAGTTTGGAGTTTTAATGTGGTTAACATGAAATAAGCCCGCTGATGTGGATCCTGATCTTTATCTGAAACTGCACAGTAAAATATGCAGCTATCCCTGAGCAAAAGCTCGTCCCA